ACACAAAATGCTGAGCTCCAACGCCAACTCACCCTGGCCCACGATCACATCCGCCAACTCCAAGGAGGTCAACCCCTGCCTCCCCACCTTGCGACACAGCCTGTTGCCCCTTTCATCTACCGACAACATCAAACACTGGCTGATGCGATGCATTTCACTCTCCCACCACCGGCCACCACGATGTGTTAGGGACCTTTGCCCCAACTTCCTCCTCTCATTAGTTCTCTTGCAGGTGCCACTACGTCCTCTGTCCTCTTGTCACAGTCGGCTCTTCCTCTCCCTACCCATTATCGGCCGCAGATGTATGTTCCACAATTCCAACCGGATTGCCTCCCACAGTTTGACGGCAAGGCCTCTGAGCTCCAAGGATGGATCTCTGCTGCTGAGGAGCAGCTTCGCTACCATGGTGTCGCCATGGAATTGTGGCCCGTCGAGATGTCCTCTCGCTTTACAGGTCGTGCAGCCTCCACCTGGTGCGGCTTCCTCGCCCTTCGCTCACAGCGCGGCGTACATGAGGGCATGTCTTATCTTGAGTTTCGCGACTTCCTTCAGCAATACTTTTCTCGCCCTGCGCCAACCCACGACCCGATTACCCGTGTGGATGAGATCAGATGGCTTGGTGGCGACAATGCCTTAGAGTCATACATCACAACATTTCACCGTGTACACGCCCAAATTCCCATAACAGCCATATCTAAGGGCACCATGATCCAACGATTCTGCGTCGGCCTACCCCAGCCATTCCAGTTGCAGATGTCGGCGTATTCGATCCCCACCTTACCAGCGGCTTCAACATTGCTCGGGCCATTCATCTCAGCCCCTCGCCCCTCCCAGCCTCGACAGTTTTCCCCATACCGTCGTGACCCTTATAGAGGCTCTGGACGATCTCTCTCTCGTCGCTTGCATGCCCTGCTTCGTAATCCGTCGACCGTTGATGATGGCACCACCTCAGATGGTTCTGTGAGTGACCCAGACTAGGGACCCGACCCTAAGTTCCCCGCGGAGGATAATGCCTCTTCCCAGGATGACCGCCTCGTCCGGGCCCTTTTCGCCCTCCTCCGTCGTCATCCCTCATCCTCCAGGACTCGCTCTACTGTCCCTCAACTACCCCTCCCAGCGGGCTTTGTGTTCCCTCGCAGCCGCTTGATCGTTGTTGAGAGTGAGGACCTTCGTACATGAGGCATTTGCACCCGCTGCCGCCTCGACGGCCATACCTCCTCTACGTGCCCGTATGCAGACGCCCTCCAAAGTCACTTTGCACAGCAGGCTCGCCCTCAATCTGTTCCCCCCGTCTCGACCTCCAGCGCAACACCCACCTAGTTGCGATGTCTCATTCCCCTGACTCTCCTATTGTAGCAGGCATACCCGTTCGCGACTCTACCTTTGTGTCGCTTGCTACTCTTCCCGATGGCTCTGCTTCGACCTTATCTTTGGCTGACCCTACCGACACTGGTATACCTTCTCCTTCCTCTCCTAGCGTCTCTCGTGACCCCCCTCCTCCACGTCCTCCTACCAGGTGTGCTCTTCGCACGGCCCGCTGTAGTGCTTTCCTTATTGCAGCTGAGGATATTATTGACTTCCTGGACCTCGAGTGTGTTAAGGTCCGTCAAGAACGTATCCGCCTTAAAGAGCGCACCCTGCCCGCGATGTCTCAGCGCCTACACAATCCCGATCGCACCTTACCGGCTATTCATGTGCGCCTCGGGACCTCTACTAGAGTGTATCGCGCACTATGGGACTCTGGCTCTACTGGCGACTTCATTCGTCCTCGCGTAGTTAAGGAGGTATCTCTCTATACTTCCCCCTACCCTTCCACTGTCACTGTCACACTTGGCGACAATCAGGCCAAATCTTTGTCGACTGTGTGGTGCCTGATCTTCCATTCTCCTTCCCCTTGCAGATGGCCCACAACCTTCGCAAGGCCCCTCGGTTCCATGACCAGTGGACCTTCGATGTCATGGAAACCCTATACGATCTTGTTCTCGGCACTGCCCACTCCCATCAGTTCACCCATGCCGGCCCCGATTGGACCCACGACGATCTCGTCCTCGACGCCAAGGATGGGAAGCAATACCGTATTCCGTTGTTGGGCAAATCGGACTCTACACTTCCCTCCCCTGTTAATGTCACCATCTGTACACCTACCCAGTTCCACCACTTCCTTCATCAGCCTGATGTTGAACTTTATGTTGTCGACATCACGGATCTCCTCACTTGCAACTCCGTGCATCAGGATGTTGAGTTGGTCGAGCTCGATCCACCGCCTCCCGAGCCCCCCGACCCTCCTGACTCCTCAGCTTCTTTACCCTCCTCTACTCCTGCTAGCCCATCTCACTTTCTCGCTTCCCTTACCACTGATTCACCCTCAATCCCTATCTCCACACAGACTCCCTCCACCTCTGCTTCAGACGTCGCAGCTGCCAAGGAATTTGACACCCTTCTTTCTTCCTTGTCGCCTAGCGTTGGTGCTCTCCTTCGCGAGTATCGCGATGTTTTCCCACCATCGGTCTCCTACAACAGTATTCCTCCCATGCGCGATATCGAGCACCACATCCAGCTCGAGCCCAACTATCGCATTCAGAATCACGCCCCATATCGCCTTTCGGTTCCCAAAGCCCAGGAACTCAAGCGCCAACTTGAGGAGCTGCTTCGCCAGGGCTTCATTAAACCGAGTACTTCCCCATGGAGTGCCGCTGTCCTCTTCGATCGCAAGAAGGACGACACCCTTCGTCTCTGTATTGACTACCGCGGTCTCAACCAGTACACGGTCAAAAAGAGTTGTCCCATGCCCCGCGCGGATGATCTGTTTGACCACCTCGCTGGCCACCATTTCTTCACGAAGATCGACCTGCGTAGCGGATATCATCAGATCCGCGTAGCCGAGGAGGACCAGCCCAAGACCGCTTTCCGTTCTTGTTTCGGGCACTACGAGTTTACGTCATGCCTTTCGGTACCCATAATGCCCCCACCACCTTCCAAACGACCATGAACACGATGTTCCAAGACCTTCTTGAGGACTCTGTTCTAGTCTACATCGATGACATCCCGATCTACAGTCGTACGCTAGAGGATCACCTGACCCATCTTCGCACCGTCCTGCAGCGACTACGTGACCACTGGTTCCATACGAAGCTTTCCAAATGCAGCTTTGCTTAACCCAAAGTCGACTTCCTCGGGCATCAGGTATCTGAGCACGACCTCCACATGTACGACTCGAAGATCCAGGCCATCGTCGATTGGCCTACCCCTACTTCCCTCCCTGCCCTGCGTAGTTTTCTTGCTTTGACCAACTACTATGGTCCTTTTCTCAAAAACTACACGCAGTATTCTTCCCAGCTCACCCCTCTGACCCGCGGACGTCTCCTTTTTCATTGGACCTCGGCTCACGAGGATGCCTTCCGCTCTCTCAAGTGACTTGTTACGTCAGCTCCTGTCTTACACTTACCCGACTACTTGCGTCCATTCATCATCACCACAGACACGTCTAACTTCGCTATTGGAGTTATTCTCTCCCAGATCTACCCAGCCCCTTCTACTTCTCCCGATTCCACGGAGTCCCGCCTCCCTCGCATTCCTCGCTTCCCTCCTCCACCTCCGACGACCGCAACTTATCTTGCACCCATCAAGCCCACCCCCTCTGGGGCCCCACCCCCTTATATTCCTGACATTGTTGATGACGATACTGTCGAGTCTCGCGATGGAGAGTGCCCGGTTGCTTATCTATCTCGACAGCTACTTCCCGTTGAGTGTAACTATACTGCAGATGAGCGTGAGGTCCTTGCACTGGTCTACGTTGTTAAGAAGTGGCGCCATCACTTGCATGGTCACACTTTCATCGTTTTGACGGACAACTTTGTCCTTGCCGCCTTCCAAACGAAGCCTAAGCTCACTTCTCGTTAGGCTCGTTGGTGACGTGACCTCTCCGAGTTCGATTTCATCATCAAGAACATTTCCGGCGAAAGCAATCACGTCGCAGATGCCTTATCCCGCCGCCCCGACCTTCAGTGCGAGGATCGTCAGCTATATGCTATTTCAGCTCCCACCATCCACCCCGCCTTTCTGGATGAGTACCGCCGCACATACACCCAGTGCCCTGAGTTTCAATCCATCTACGTTGACCTACAGGCTGGCAAGTCCGTCCCTAACTTCTAACTCGATCCCTCTGGACTCCTATACTGGCTTGGTCACCAAGGTACCCGTACTCCCCGCTTATGTGTGCCCTCTACTGGCCAGCTCCGCGTTCGGGCCGTCGCTGAGTGTCATGACCAACACGCCGCCGGTCATCTCGGTGTCTTCAAGACCCTTGACCGCCTCTACCGCCATTACTACTGGGAGCACCGTCGTCCTTTCACTAAGGAGTACGTCCGCACCTGCAGGATCTGCCAGGAGGCGAACATTCCTAACCACCCCCCCTACGGCCTTCTTCAGCCCTTGCCCATTCCAACTCAACGTTGGACTTCTGTCTCCATGGACTTCATCGGTCCTCTTTGTCCCCCTACCCCACGAGGCCACGACGCCATCTTCGTCGTTGTCTGTCGGTTGACTAAGCATGCTCACTTCCTCCTTTGCAAGTATGCTAGTTCAGCTAAGACATCGCCTCCCTTTATTTCAACCGCATTGCGATTCATCACGGTCTTCCCACTAGCATCGTCTCTGATCGCGATCCCCGCTTTATTTCTCACTTCTGGCGTGGACTCCATGAGATCTATGGCTCCGAGCTTCGCCTCTCCTCCTCCTATCACCCCCAGTCAGATGGACAGGTCGGGGTCACCAACAAAACTCTTGGGAGTATCCTCAAGAAGTTTGTTGAGAATGACTCTGATAGGGATCTGCATCTTGCTCACGCAGAGATCGCTTACAACCATGCTAGTTCTCCTGCCATTGGCATGTTGCCGTATTACAGTGACTTGGGATATCACCCGTGTGTCCCATCTGATCTTCTCCGTCCATCTCAGATCCATCCCGACACCAAATGCCCTGCCCTCGATGACTGGGTAAAGGAGATGGATGTGCTTCTTAGCAAGGCTCGAGAGAGCGTTGCTAACTCCCAGGCTCGCATGGCCACTCGCACTAACCGTTCTCGTGTTGACCACCCCTTCAAAGTTGGCGACGAGGTTCTTGTCGACGCACGTCACTTCCATCTCGAAGCCGACACGCTTCAGAAATTCAGGCGTCGATATATTGGACCATGCACTATTCTTTCACCTGCCGGACCTAATCATGAATTTCCGGTGAGCTTCAAATTGAAGTTCCCCGATTCCATGTATCGCGCTAACCTACATGATGTGTTCCATGTATCTCTTTTGCGCCCCTTCAGACGGTCTCCTCCCGAGCTTCACGGTCGACCTTACCCTCGCCCTTCCCCCATCATCATTGAAGGTCACAAGGAGTTTGTCGTTTCTGATATCGTGTCCCGGCGTATGATTGATGGTGATCCTCTGTGCCTCGAGTATCTCATTTGATGGAAGGGTTACCCTGACGAGGAGTCTACTTAGGAGCCTCTCGAGCACCTGAAGCATGCTATGACTTTCATGTGTACGTACAATCGTGTTCATACTTTCCCTTCATCATCCTCCCCTCCTACTTCTCGTCCTTCTACTGACCCATCTACCTCAGCGACCCTTAACATTCCCCCTCCTCCGTCGATGGGTCCTCCCACTTCAGTAGTTTCTGCCTCAGGTCCTCCTTCCCCCGTGGATGTGGTTCCGCCTGTTGTTGCAGTTGATTCCTCTCGCCCTCACTGTACCCATTGACTTCCTTCTCGCTATCGTGACTAATCTACACCCCCATACGCTCTCTATCTTTTACCATTCTTGGACACTTATGCAACAACTCCCGGTTTCGACTTCTACATTTGACCTCTACATTCGGCTTCTACATTCGGCTTCTACATTTGGCCTCTACATTCGGCTTATACATTCGGCTTATACATTCGGCTTGTACATTCGGCTTCTGCTCGACTTCTACATTCGACTTTCGACCTCAGTGCTTCTCTTCAGTACTAGAATACATGTCGTATTGTTTCGGACTTCTACTTGGTTTCTGCACTACTCCTACTTCATCCTGGCTACTTCGGCTCGAGTTCGGTCTGGAGACTTATCAGTTGGACTACACTTTTTCGGCTACGGAGTTCCCATCATTCCCATTTATCCATTACCCTCGAGTTTACCCTCCAGTCGCATGATGACCCCTATTTTCCCTGTCTATGTGGGTGTGTTCGTCTGCCGCCCTTCTGCCTTCCCTATGCTGCGCGCCCTCCTCCGGAGTGTACGTTTTCTTTGCTCGCGGCTTTTGGCCACATGTCTATGCCGGCATAGCCCTCTATCCTTCTAGGCTCACCTTATGTGTGCTCCCTTGTGTGAGTGCCCTTCCCCTTTCAGCTGGCAGTACCCGTTTGATGGTTTCCATTGAGGCCGGTGTCGTGCTGTTACTCTCCCTCTGAGCCTGATGACCCTTACCTGGTTGTGTGGGTGCCCGCTTGGAGTTTACTCTAAGAGTTGTACCTGCCGCCTTCCCACCCATTCCTACCTCTGCCATGCGACTGAGTTCCCTTCTCTTTTGTTCAGGTATTGTGCATTGTGTACAGGGCACGTGAGA